GCCACAAAATACTTTTTCAATAGGAAACATTTTTTATGTTACTATTCAAGCTGAGCCAAACTGAAAATGGTTATGTAAAGTATTATGCTTAGTCTGTGCATGGTCACATATTGTGCACATGGAAAGAATTTCTCAACTTTTAAAATTCAGTTACCGTGTTCTTCCTGTCAATAAGCTTCTTCTTGGGTTTCCCCTACAGAAGTAGAAAGGACAACCGGGTTAGAGAATGCTATTCAAATAGTCTCTCTTGAGTTCACACATATATGCACTCCTGAAATTTTTATTACAGAGATTCAACATGAAACTTGGCCAGGGAGGGCATCTTTGGGGAAAAGCAGATAAATTGAGAACATTCTCAGAGAAAAGTATAGTGCTGTGAGTTGGAGGGAGGATCAATAAAAAACAAAAGGAAAAGGACAAATAAATTTTGGAGAAAAATTATAATAATTACTTGCATTTGTCTATCTATTTTAGATTACACTTATTCCTCACAACCACCATTTAAAGAAAGTTGTTATTAGCTCCATTTATATAAAGGAGTGTGATAAGATAATTTTGGGACCTGCCAATGTCAGAGCTTAACAGGTTTACATTTAAACCTAGGGCTTAGGTCTCAGACTGCATTGTTCTTTCTACTTTCATTGAACTGTTTGAGGAAAGAAAACCAAGCTCAATTCTTACAGAGTACAAAAAGGATGCATATATGGAAATAAAACTCATCAGAAATCAAGCAGGTGGGAGGAGGGAGGAGAGGATGAGTAAATTCACACCTGATGGGTACAATGTATACCATCTGGGTGATGAGCACACTTATAACTTTGACTCGAACTGCACAAAAGCAATTTATGTAACCAAAATGTTTGTACTCTCGAAATACTCTGAAATAAAATAAAATTAAAAAAAAAAGTATACTCATCAGAAATAGATTTTCCACAATTAAAAAAAAAGTCTCTATTAAAAAAAGATATTCCCCATTGCCTCTAAACTAGGGTTGGGCTCTAACTACAGGAATCAAGTGCTATTTATGTTTAAATAGGATTTTGTTTTCCTTTTAAAACATTCTCTTCTCATTCAATTTCCTTTCACATAACACTTTTTTTTTTTATTTCTCCAGTTCTACTTGTACTCATTTGCGTATGTGCTTATTTGGATCAGTACAATTTTATCACCTGTGTAGGTTCGTGTACCCACTAACACAGTTAAGATATGAAGTAATTATGTCACCCCCAAGTATCCTCCAAGCTGCCTTTCCATAACCACACATCCCTCCTACCTATTCTCTGCCCCATTAATCTGTTTTCCACTCTAAAATTTTGTCATTTCAAAAATGTTATGTAAATAGAATTACATAACATGTAACTGTTGGCATTGGTTTTTTATAAAGAGACAAGTGCAATGTAGATTGTAACTATAAAAAAAAAAAAAATCGAGTGAAAAGGTTAAGTCTTCACCAAGATGTCTTGTCTTTCCTTTCCCATGTCTTCTACCAATCTAATGTCCTGAGACTGTCACATTATCATCAGAAAGTCTCAAGACGATTTTAACTTTTTTACCCAGATAATAGTTTTCTCCAGCAATCTGCAATCATCGCTTCACATTACAATCACCTGGGAAGCTTTTAATATGTATCAATACTTCACTCTGGGGCAGAGAGGTGACTAGGGCATAAATATGATTTACAAGATCCCCAGGTGTTACTAATATGCAGCCAGCATTAAAACTACTGCCGTAGTGTAAGACAGTAAGTAAGATACTGTTTGCCAGGGCAGGATGGGTACGGGGGAGGAATTGAGAGGGTAGGGAAGGTAGAAAAAATTAACCTAAAACAAACAAAATGAGTATAGAATTAGTTTGAAAGTGGTTCTGACAATAACATAATTGGATTTGCAAGGGGAAAACATCAATTCAAACTGACGGGAACAAATTTACTGGAAGCTATTAAGACTTGCAACGAATAATTTCATTTTTTCAATGCATGTGTTTGTGTGTGCCTACTATGTGGTAGGTTCTTGATACTGACATAGATAAGCAAAACAAAATACCTACTCTTAAGAGCCAACTTGTAAAGTACAAGTTAGTAAACAGGCAATTATAACATAACCTAGGAGTCTAAATCAGACTGAGGGATAAAAGAAGGGCTGGGAGTACCTCCTAGTCTAGGTCAGAGGAGGAAGGACATAGTTATAAGAATTTAGGGATGAACTGAAGTCCATTCCAAAGAAAGGGGAGTTTGTAAGGATAAGCAGGTATAAAAGAGCAAGTAGATACAGTCTGACTGGCCATGGGTTGGTGTGAAAAAGTGGAGATTAGGCTAAAAAGGTAGGTAAGAATAGATCATGAGGGCCTTTCATGCTAACACAGGGAAATTTATGGTTTTTTAATCAAAGATTTTACAATGCTTTATAAACAAGGGTTGTTAACCAGGCCTGAAGAAAGTATGCAGGGAGTACACTAACTTGGATGGGGAAAAAATTACATTCCCTAATTGAAATTTAGCATTTCCTCCACATAAATGTAGGAAACCATCCACATAATGGATTAGTATGACTTCGTTACCAAAACAAATAAGATCTTTTTTTCATATTATTTTAGAACTGTCACAAGTATCTCAAAATACTGTCAATATTTATCATTCTTTGAAAATTATGGCAGTTATTAGACCTACTGCTGGGTCTTGTTATTTAATGTGCTAATAAAGAGCACATATATTATTATATGTCAAATTTTTTATTGTTATGCTACTCCTATGTGAATGTTTCATAATTTTGGCCAGTATGGTAGTCTCCAGATTGCCTGCTCTGCCCTCCTTCCCCCTCACAGAAAACCCAAGTATGGAAAGATCCAGCCTGGAGCACAGAATCCATGTCAGTTCAGAAACAGATCTATACAACATGTTAAAAAACCCATGCAAACTACCTATTTTAAGCAAACAGTCCATTACTACTAAACATGACTGGGTAATCCAAGATCACCATATATTTGCAGATATGTTACAGTAAAAACTAGAAAGAATAAGATGAACAAACAGAATACAGAAGAATTAAAATAATGCAAAAACATATAGGAACTTTAAACAAACTAATCAACATAGTCAAAGAGACTTGAAAAGACATTACATCCATAAAATATGAAAACTAATCAAAAAGCAAACACAGTTCTTGGAAATTAAAATCACACTTGCCAAAATAAAAAAGCAAATCAGGCCGGGAGCAGTGGCTCACGCCTGTGATCCTAGCACTCTGAGAGGCTGAGGCGGGAGGATCACTGGAGGTCAGGAGTTTGAGACCAGCCTGAGCAAGAGCAAGACCCTGTATCTATTAAAAACAGAAAAAATTAGCTGGGTGTAGTGGCGTGCGCCTGTAGTCCCAGCTACTCAGGAGGCTGAGGCAGGAAGATCGCTTGAGCCCAGGAGTTTGAGGTTGCTGCAAGCTAGGCTGACGCCATGGCACTCTAGCCTGGGTGAC